AGGATGATCAAAAGTTTTGGAAAACATTCCTATTCCAGAAAAGCATGGCTCTGTTGAAAATGTTGGACTCGCCCGCTCTCCACGCTCCCTCCAAAAAACAAATTKAGGATCAAAATGACTTTGCTCTGACCAATCCATGGAGAAATCTCAAGTAAGCCAAGTCCAGCTGCCTGTGGGCACTCTCAGCTACGAAAGGGCAGGCTGTGCTTTGGACTGCTGCCCCACTCTGAGTAGGGTAACCGACCTATGGGAAGTAGGAAACAGCCAAGGTAAACCACTGTGCAGTCACTTATGTACAGAGAAATGTGTGCAGTGACAACCTCTKTCCCTTGACTTATCCCTTGAGACTACCAGAAAGAGGAAACAGCTCTCAGAAATCCAGCAGTCCCTGATCCAAACATGGCATGTGCCAAAGGGATCAGATCTGCCCAGAGCAGCAGACCCTCTGAAAAACCTGTCACGCCAGCACAAACAGTAAAGACAGCTTTGTACTGCTTGCTCTTTCAGATACTTTCTTTTCCTTTTTCTTTTCTTTTTTTTTTTTTTTTTTTGCCTGTTGGGCTTTACATTTTTTTTTTTTGTTTTGTGTTGCTATTTTTTGACTTCAAGAGGGTCACACATGAAAGCGCTAGCCCCGTAACTTGAAGCCTTTGCAAGAGCTGCCTGTACGAGCTGCAAGCCCCGCAGAAATGTGTAGCCCTGAGAAAACGCAACGCGCTGCTCAGACCTGCACTTCTCTGGGTTGTGTGGTCGTGTAAGCAGCAATTAGCTGGGCTCAAGGAGAGCAGAGAGCCGGATCCTTGGGCAGCGACCACTCAMATCCACATCCTGACATGCAACGCTGAAGAAGCCTTCAAACCACCTGGGTTCTTTGTGGAATTTCTGGCTAAATTGCTTGCTCTTGGGCAGGCTAACTCACTGGCTCCATATACTGCAGTCAAATGCTTGAAACTGCCGGGCCATCGGGCTGCCTCCTGAATGTTACTTGCACTCAAATTGCCACCTTCAGCAGGTCTGTATCTCGGRATTTCTTCAAAAGCCTACGGGAGCCAGAGCAGATTTTAGAAGTCGGTGGTTACGCTGCCTGGCCCCTGCAGCACCACCATAAATGCTGTGGTAGATACKGTGGGTCCCTGCAGAGGACCTAGGATCTAACCCAGCCAATGTCCTAAGTCAAGAAACTGTGTCCACAGGAATTTAGATAGCTGATAGAAAATACTGGGCAGCATGTCTCCTATAGCAGTGTCTTGCTTTCTTTAAGGTTCACATATCCCTGTCTGAAAACATCTCCTTCAAAGAACTGAGCAGGGAACATACTTCTCTTAAAAGTCTATCACTTGTGTCCTTTGTAAGGGAACCACCTAATGATCTGACCACATATCCTGGCCATGAGCACCTGGACCCCTCCGGGTGGTCTCTCATCTCCCAGGAGAGCACCCTGGCCACCACTCTGAGATAGAAGGGAAGAAGAACAKGCTCTTTTCCCTCCCCATCCTCCCAGTGACCTCTTCTCAAATGCCTGTGAACCCAGGCACGTCTATCCCAAAACAACCTGTCTGGACTGTGGGATGTTTTAGAAGTCTTTCCTTGAAAAATCATTTTTACATGCTGGTGTACCTCTTCTGACCTTATTTATTATTTTTAATACTTTGTATGAATTTCTGTAGAGCAAATAAATCTCCGGATTTTCCACTATTTTTGGAGAAACACATATTTACATATAAGAAGCTTAAACCTCAAATTTAATAATAAGCCTGATGCTTCAAAAGGTTTTTGAAGGTACTTTGTGTTTTCTTTTCTAAAATTTAACATAGGAAAAAAAAATCTGGATTCAGAGTAAAGACTCAGAAACACAATAGTTGCCCTGTGTGCTACGGAGAATGTATTTGTGCTACTGGAATAATGGAAAAGCTACGATTGATAATGCTGTACTGTGCAACATTTTACCCAGAAGAAAATCAGCCTGAGCTATGTTTTGCTTTCACTCTATAAAAAAACTGCAGGAAACTATTTGTGATTTGCAGCTGAGAAAGAAAAAAAATCAACTGAAAAACCAAGTTTATTGCCCGTCAGGCAAATGAATCAAGAATAAATTTCACCTGRCTGTCCCTTAAATAAATCAGAACAATAATAACAATAATAATGGCATACAAAAAATAACTCCTGAAGTGTCAAGCAAATGACTGGATAAATGGTATAAACTGACAGCGGGTAATTGGACTGAAGAATTTTCTTCTATAGCTCTGAAAATCCAAATGTGTATAATGAAAAATAGATGCAATATTTGGTTACCCAACCACAAACAGAACGGTGATGAAAAATGATTGCCCAGAGTGCTATTAGAAGGTGTCTGCTGGAGTTCAAGTCAGGCACTTTGGGGGCTATTCAGAAAAATTCAGTAAAACTACACCTCACACTTCTTGTTCTCTCTGTCTCCCTGCCTGGGCTCACAAAGAAGCCAACGCTGCATTTCTCACCCCGAGGGTCTCACTGTGTCTTGGGCTCTGTGTAATCAGGTGATTTCCTGTTTCTGCTCAGTTTACACAAAGCTAAGGGAAAAAAAMCAATAGTTTGTCCCTGGAAAACGATCAGTTATGTATTTAGGATTTTATAGTTTTATTAACACCAGTGAAAGAAGAATGAGGAATCAGGAGGACTCAGGGAGCTTTCTGTGATGCTTGACTGGTGTGAGACAGAGATGAATTATCTTCGACAGAGCTGATACCTACGTGTTCATCAAGCAGTGAGTAAGAAAGCTTCCTGATGTGCTGGTGGGATTGGAGTGTGTTTAGCTGAAGTGATCAAGTTGCTTTGACACATGTAACTGATAACAGAGTTTAGGAAGGCAAGCTGTTTTGACTCTAAGCGCCTGGTACTTCTCGGTGAGGTTACGTAGCGCCAGCTTTCTCACTGTTAATGACTYGTGGTATACAGAAAATGCCCATGCAACATAGTATTGGAGTGGGCTCTGGAATCAAGGATACCTCAGTTRTTCAGATATATTACGGGGCTGGCCTGGAGAGAAGGAAGGGACTGTGGAAAAAGGGCTCCTTGGAAGTGTTCCTCAAGGGACGTTTTGATGTCTGTCGTTCAGCTGCTCCCACGCTGGGATGGTGAGAGGGCCGCCTCGCACGGCTCATAACCAGCACGGCTTTTGTTTTGCTGCAGGAAGGCTGGTTAATTCGCCRGCTTTGCACTTCGGTGTGCAAACCCAGCTGCCAACGCAACGGCCCGCAGCTGCATGGTGGAGCAAACCAGCACCCAGCAAGGAGGCTGGTCTCGCGTTGGCTTTGCCCTTCTCACAGCTACAGTGGCATGAAGAGGTGAGAGAGGAGACAGAGGCGGGGGGACCAGGTCCTGCTCTTCTGCAGGGACCAAGCGCCCAAGCGCTCTCCTGCCACGTCTCCTCACCGAGCACAGAGCCGTGCTYAGCAACGGGCTCACTGAAACCACAAAAACAGCATGAGCAATCCAGAAAGAAGAGGTGTTATGGGCACCCAAGGCAGAGGGCTCTTGGTGGAACACTTGGCAGGATCAGCTGCAGTCCATATCCTGCATGAAGGAGATGTTGACATTACTGGCTATAGAGTGCTGYGTCCTAGGTTATGCACAGCAAATGAGGAATACAGTGCTTCATGCACCCCTTTACACCTGTCGAGATCAGTGGGAAACCCTGAGGAATTTTTCTGCTTCTCTGCAATTCCCAGATTCCCAGCGAGGTCACAAGGAGGTGGAGATGCAACCAGAGACTTGCAAATGATGGGGAAACAATTTAATAACCACAAATAGAAACTAGGACTTGAGAAGAAGTGGCCAGATCTGCACTTACACTTCTAAAGACTTCTCTGTTTGCTAYGGTGGGTCTAAGGAAAGAGTGCTTTTGTTAAAATATGGGCTTTTTGCATCCCTAACAATCTTTTAAAAAGCTGCGTTCCTGTGATGACGGTGGCCGAATGATGGCTGGTGCCTTAATGACTGGATTATTGAATGTACTTGWATTTGGGAAGTTAACTGAATTATTCAATACACAAGGTAGCAATAGTTGACAATACTGCTGTAGTCATCATCACGACTCTATTACAGAGATTAGTCACTATTGATAAAACATTTTTGGCTGTTTCAGCACCTAATGAAGGTGACTGCGACAACAAGCCGTGCGCTTCTGCCTTCTGCACGCAGGGAGCAGGAGCTCTCCGTGCTCCAAGGCCCCGAGACAACTGGCTTGTTACAAAACTTGAAAACTGCTACAGGAAGGAAACCAGCAAGCTCTCCTCTCTGAAGCAAGGCAATATTCAGACAGCCACAGATGGGCCCTGCCTGAAGTAAATCTTCTGTGCAACATTTCCTAGTGGTGCTGTCAGAGCGAAAAGGGAAGAGATAACATCCCCCACAAAGCCACTGTTTTCTCAGAAATAACTGTTCTTTCTAAACTCGTATGGGACACAAATAATAGCAATTAATTGTAGCCAACAGCACACTAGAGTTGCCTGTTACTGTACGATCAGAAGGCACGGCTTTGCCCGTACACCTACACGTACACACAGCGACTTTTCCAGCACGTAACCCCCAAGTTCAGCAGCTTTGCAAATAAACTCGCAGCTGATGCTTCCCCAGCAGCCGGGCTACCGCAGGCAGCTGTGGCCACTGGCGCGAACGCCGCTGCCATCCTGCCTGTGGCTCTCCCCAAAACGAGTGACCCGGGGCGCACACAGAGGCTTCTGCAACCTGCTGCAGCAAAACGGGTCTAACAGACGCGGGAGAAACGGGCGCGGGGGCCGAGCCGGGCGGCGGCCACGGCCGGGCACCCGGCTGGGCACCGGGGCTGGGGGGTGTCCGGGGATGGCGGGAGGGGGTCCCGGGCTTGGCGGGGCGGCGGGGGGGGGTCCCGGTTGCCTGAGCAACGCGGCGCATCCCAGCGGGAGCCTCCGCCAACTTGGGTGTCCACGTGAAGCCCGCAGCCCGCGGGGCCGCCCGCGGCCGCTGCCCGCCGCCGCGCTCACCGATGGTGGAGACGACGGTGCCCACGAAGTAGAAGGCGCCGGGGAAGTCCCAGCGCGGGCGCAGCGCGTCCACGCGGATGCCCGCGGCCATGGCCGCCTCGTAGCTGCGCAGGAAGGCGCGCAGCTCGGGCAGGCTGATGTTGAAGATGCGGCTGAAGTTGTGCAGCGTCCGGTTCCAGCGCAGCTGCGCCGCCGCCTCCGACGGGCTCTCGAGGGCCGAGAAGACGCTGGCTCCCGCGCTCAGGTACGCGGCGATGAGGGCGGCGAGCAGCAGGAACCGCCCGTTGTCCTCGTTGAGGGGCGAGAGGCGCCGCCGCCCGCGGCACGGG